AGGCCACATGGCCAGAAGAGGGCTGGCCAGGCTCTACACCCTGGCATTCAAGCGTCTAAGTGCGGTTCCCTCCCTTAGCTGGTGCTGCCCCTGCACTGTCCCCGCCCTTCCTGTGCTGGCTTCTGAATCTGTGCGGGGCCTCAGAGAGGCTCTGTCACCTGGAGCCAGGGCAGCCTCAGACAAAAAGGCCCCTGTGAGTGGCGGGAGGTCCGGACCCCACCCTAGGCCATCTGCCTGGTCCAGGGTTGGACCTGGTGCTGACACTCGGTCCGCCTGTAGGAAGGAGCTCGGTGGGTCACGTCTTGGTTCCCCAAGTGCCGGTTCTGCTCCATTAGATCAGCTGGCTTTAAAATGAGGCCCGTCTGTATGGGCAGAGAGCCCGTCCTGGCCTCTGACCCAGGTTGCAGTCTCGTCTCCCTCTCACCCAGCCCTCTCAGAAGGGGGTCCTGCCAGCTCCTGAGAAGTGAGGCTGCGTCCCTTCCGCCCAGGTGCTCGCCCTGGGCGCCTGTCTTCTAAGATCCGTCTCAGGGATGGGGACCGCCAATGGGCGTGGCGACCTCCCTCCGCCCGCCGGACCCCTTGTCTGGGCCCCTCAGGAAGCAGAGGCGGAGCTGGCCCCGGACCGCCCCCAGCCCAGGGTTTTATAAAGGGGGTGCAGTGCCGTGGGAGCCCGCACCATGGAGCACCGCATCCCGGCTCTTTTCCTCCTGCTGCTCCTTGCCGGGCCCCCAGCAGCAAGGCCCGCACCCCCGACCTGCTACTCCCGGATGCTGGGCCTCAGCCGAGAGATCACCGGGGACTTCCAGCTCCTGCAGGCTGCGGAGCCCGCGGTGAGTCTCAGCACAAGGACCAGCTCTCTGAAGCTTGGCTTCAGCCGGGCTGGTGGTCTGGCCAGTGAATACCGCTGCTCTCAGGAGAGACTGAGCAGCAGGCTGGTTGCCTGTTCGAATCCAGCTTGGGCAGTGTAGGGAGGCCCCGTCTCCAAACATTATTAAAAGGTGGGAGGGGAATGGGGATGTAGCTCTGGGGTAGAGAATAGAGCAGCCCTGGGTTCCATTCCTAGTACAAAGAAGGGAGGGAGAGAGGCAGGGAGAGAGGCAGGGAGGGAGGGAAAATTTTAAAAAGAGGAAAATGAATCCAAGATACAAATTTTGATTGAACATGCTAGCAAATATCAGAGAAGCCTTTGTAAAATGTAAAAAATTGGAAAGAAAATAAAAGATCAACCAGCTCCCACTGATTCCACACCTGAGGATCAGGAGTTAAAGAGGTAAGCTTTATGTCGTCCCCTTTTCAGCGAGTGAACTGTGGATGTCAAAGGGGGCTACAGAGCGGGCCTGCGCCCTGACCTGCTGAGGCGCTGCGGCAGATCTCTAGCCCGCATCTCAGTTTCCCTCTCTGTAAAATGGGTGACAAGAGCACCCCACGCCTGCCCAGCTCCAGAGAGGCTAAAAGGAGCCTTGGGGACAGAGGCTAGCAGAGAGCAAAACCCAGGCTCTGGAGGGGAGCAGGCCTCTCACGTTACACAGCACAGACACCAAAGCCATTAAACTTCATTAAGAGCTTGGGTAAAATTTAGGTGTCTCTCATCTGTTTGTAAAGGCTTCACACAGAACCTCGTGCCTCTCAGGTGTTGGGATTTACAGTAGCTTAACACCCTCTTTGTGTATTCTTTTTAAAAGAGCATGCATTTATGTCTGATAAAAGTAACAGACGTTGTAGAACTGCTGAAAATGCACAAAGGACAAAGAAGAAAATAAAAATCATTTGTAATTCTACCACTCGAGGTGACTGCTGCTCTGAGAATCCAGAGGGTGGTACTTCCGTTTCCGGTCCAAGCAGATGAGGTCAAATGTACGCACTATAGGTATGGGGTGCCGCAAAATTTAGATTCAAAGGAACACACAAGTTTACGCTTACTTGTAACACTATAAATCCGTTCGTTGTTTTGTGCCTTTGGTTGGATAATTGCACAATTCCTTGCTGCCCAACACATAGATTACTCCTCTTTTAAAGGAATCTGATTACAGAAGGCAAACAAAACAATGCCAACCCCCCATATACGCCTCTTTGATTTCATAACTGAGAAACTGAGTCACGGAAAAGGACTTTTTTTGCCTGAAATCACATGGAATTACTGCAGGACAGATACAGTGTCTCCTGGCCTTGCTGCCTGCAAGACACATACTTAGAATACAGCACCGTAGAAGCACACAGATAGCTATACCTGCTGACTGCTATATTATGTACTTTAGCAAATCTGGGTTACAGTTAAGAACTTAAATTTTATAAATACTATAAATCATATATACTTGTTACTATATATTATTTATATATAAATATATCTAACTACCTAAATATATCTGGCGACTGCCATATAATAAACGACTCTAAAATTCTTATATATGTATAAAACAGGCGGGAGAGTGAGACACGGTGCCCTAATGCATGGCGAATGTTATGGGAGCTGCGCTCTAGAGGTCAATTTCTTGAGAGCAGATCCCCATTTGGGCCACACGTGACACTGTGCGTGTCGTTGCATCAGGAAGGGTGGGGGCCCGAGCTGGACTGGCTGTTGGCCGGGCTCCAGGGCCCCCTAGGGACAGGCCCAGCGAGTGTCACTGTGAGCGCCCAGTGATGCGTCTCTTCTGCAGAAGGCCTGTGTGCGGTACCTGCCCCGCCTGTACCTGGACATCCACGTAAGTCTGGCTGCAGGGATGGAGCGGGTGGGCCTCAGCCTGTGCTGCGAGGCAGAGCTCGGTGTGGGGAGTCGGTGGGGTCTGCGCCAGAGGAGAGGAGCTTAACGCTGCCCCTTGCCTGCTGATTTCCCCCCAGAATCACTGTGTGCTGGCCCAGCTGCGCGACTTCGTGGCCTCACCTCAATGCTGGAAAGTGGCCCAGGTGGACTCCCTGAAGGACAAAGTGAGGAAGCTCTACACCATCATGAACTCCTTCTGCAGGCGGGTACGTGTGCCCCTGGGGGTCCTCTCTGTTCCGCCAGGCAGGATACAGGGTCTGGCAGGGTGGGGTGGTGGCTCAGAAGGCTCCTGCCCTTCAGAAAGCCTTTGGGCTACCCTGGCCCTAGCTGAGTGATGCCTTCAGGGCGCGGCTCCTCAACCCTGGCCACACTCGGGGCAGGCCAGGGTGCTCTGTGGTTCTGGTGGGAGAGGGGAAGGGGACAGAAAGCCCTGTGACCTCGGGGCTTAGACCCCAGCCCCAGGTGTGCCTCCCCTTCATGCTGAGGGGAGATCTCCTTACACAAGGACTGGGAACAGAACAGAGTCCCCCTGACACTGTTGGAAGGGTGATACTCATTACACCCTTGCCAAGTACCACCGCTGTCACACACACCTCCATCCTAGGGTGCCCAGCAGGGTCACCTGGTGTAGACTTTCTAGCTCCTGCTGGCCACAGCAAGCCCTTCCCAAACTTTTAATGGTGAGCCATTAATTTTCATTTCTTTGTCCTTATAGCAAAGATTGGTTCTCTATTTCCTCCCAAGCCCTGATCCTCCTCTTACCCTTCTCTCCTCGGTCTGTGGGTATATGTCAGCCTGCCTATCACTGTGACCCAATTCCTCACACCCACGAATTAAAGGACGCAAGGTATATGGGCTCATGGTTTCAGAGGGTTCACTCCATGGTCAGCTGGCCCCGAGGCAGGAACATCGTGGTGGAAAGGTGTGGTGAGAAGAGCTACTCCTGGAGGCCCAGGAGCAGAGCGGGAGAACAGAGCCAGAAAAGGGTGAGGGAGCACACAGAGACCCCTAGGTCACCCGCATTCACCCAGAAATGAGCTCCACCAATACCCTGGATGGATCCCCAAACCATTCAAGTTGACACCCAGCCCTAACCACCACAGTGGGGGAAGACAGGAAGATAATATAAGCATGGTAGAGTCTGGCAAGTGATGTGCACTCATTGTGAGGGACCAAAGGCAAGAACTGGTGCTGCTCTGCACAGTGTTCACAGCGCCTGGTCCTGGGTTGTCACTCAGTAACCCAAGTGCATTCATTCATCCATTCATCCATTGGCTCTCCTGCCCATTTGGCCACCCATCCGTGTGGTCCACCAATGCATGAGTGCATCCCATGTGTAAGAATGTCAAGAACATATTAGATCCTATGGCAATGTGAAGAAAGAAGGGACCAGCTCTCCTTGGAGAGTCAGGGCTGGGGAGTTTTCACACAGTGGGGAACATCTGAACGGTCTAAGGAGGCCAAGGCCTGATTTACATGGAGCTCCAGGCCACCTGCAGGACCACCCTGCTCACCGTGCATCTTTTGTAGGACCTGGTCTTCCTGTCGGATGACTGCAGTGCCTTGGAATACCCAACCCCCGTGACCACCAGCCCTCCGGATCGTCAGAGCTAAGGATGCCAGGCCAGAGAACAACCCGGGAGGATGGGGCTGTGCCGGCTGTGCCACCGCCCCACAGACCTCTCCCCCTGTTCCTGTAGTGTCCGAACCCATCACATGTCTCCCCCTTCTGGAAAGCAGGTTGGGGCTCCTACCCAGGAGCCGCGGCAGAGCACAGAGTTAGAAGCCAGCTTCGTTCTGTTGTGCCAGAGAAAAAGGCTCAGCAGCTTCTCTTTTGTGTACAAATAACAACAAGTGAATTAGTGCGTCCTTATTCCAGCTTTGATGGAAGAACAGCACTGTTTTTCTTTCTTGATAGAAGCCTGCTTACATTCAACTAAGCCTCTATTTTATACCTTCCCCCACCACTTCCTTCCTTTTACATTTTTAAGAAATCTTACTACTGCTTTTGAGATGCATTTATAGTGCTGACGAAAACCACTCTTTCATAGCAAGGTGGTGAAAATCAAATAAAGACAGCGAGAAGCACGTGTCCCGCTGCATTTGTTCCTGGTGGTGTCAGATGGTTCGTTCCGTGCCTTCCCTGGGACCTCCCAGGTGTCACATGCTGCATCCTTTTCTTCACGTCTGTCAGGTGCAGGTGTCTGGCTGTGCTGCACCCCACCTGCCCTGACTGCTCCCAAATTGTTTGGAGATGCTCCAGTTCGTGCTGCGGACAGACTGCTTTGTACCCACAGCAGAACTGTTCTGCCTTTATCATAGCTCTCAGTTCTTTGACTCTGTCGCAGAAGCCTGTGGATCGGTGTCCTAGGAGTCGGGGGCTCAAGTAGGTTAAGGGACTTGGCCTGTCCAGGTCACTTGCCAGCGGTGGGGAATCTGTGTGACCCCAAAGCCTCCGCTCTTGTGAGCACCCCAAAACTTCTCCCCTGCATGGGAAACATGCTCATTTCGTTAATTTGTGACCCCAACAATAAAATTGCAGCTGAGCAACCAGATGGTGGAAAAATGCTTCAAATGCTGGTTTTGTTAAATTCCATGCATTCCACTGGGATCTCTGTTGCTTTTACTCCCTTCTGTATACACAGGTCAGGCGTCTCCTTGATCCTAGGTGCCTCTGACTTCCCAGAGGACTCTTCAGAATGACTGGTTCAGTTCGTCTTTAGAAGCACAAGTCCACAGAGTCAGGTATTGGAATCCTAGATATGCGTAACACGGCAGCTCAAGCTGGGTGGGTTAACATAGGAACTACTGCAGTGCCTCACAGACCTGCAGGCTGGAAGCCCTGGATCCAAGTCAAGGTGCCAGCAGGGACACATGGTCTCTGAAGGCTTTGGGGTCTGACACCTCCCTGCCTCTCCCAGCCTCTGTGGTTGGTGACGATCCTTTGCGCTCCCTCGCATTTAGATATGGTCCCTTCAGTACCCTGGTAACACCCCACCCACCCTGGTAACACACGGTGCTTCTCCTGGGCCTGGGTCCAAACTTCCCTCTCCTTACAGGGGCACCAATTATTCAATTAGGCCACACCATGATCGAGTGTGACCACATCTCTTATGTTTTAGAGCTGGGAATGGGACGCAGGGCCTTATGCATGGCGGGAAAGTGCTGTAACACTGAACTCTAGCCCCTGACTTCACCCTAAGTTGGTAGCATCTGCAAGGACCCTACAACCAGTAAGGTCACAAGCTAAGGTATTAGGACTTTAATTTACATTTTTGAAAGACCCAATATGATGCACAACAACCACTCTTTTAGGAAATAACCCCTCGCCGGAGGGAAATTATGCCACATACTCTTTTTGTGACCCTCACAGTTATTGGCCACTCCTTGGCATAGGAGATGGGGAGGCGGGGTGCCTGGCACAGGACACGACCATAGCTCCCTGCATCCTCACCGTGACACTGCAGGGGTCAAGTTCAAAGGCTGAGGACCTTGTCTTACTGGTAGGTGCCCAAGTGATCAAAGACAGGCACTAAATGAAGTGGTTTAGACATCTATGCCCTCGTTTCTTCCGTACTCATCAAGGGTGTATTATGTATGAACTTGGCAAATACCGCAGTGAAAGATGAAGACCTCTTCCTCATAAACTCCCGAGGAGACATTTGCAAGATCTAGGAGACAGCCACAAAGAAGCGCCTGATGCTGAGGCAAAAACGAAAGTTCTCTTAGAAGACCTGAACCAGGGCAGGCTTTGCTGCAGGAATGGAGCTCGCTGAGCTGGAAGAGGGCGGAGGGACTGAAGGCCGTCCCTCCACTGTGCTTGTCTCAACACAGCCAGGGCACAGAGCTCCATCCAAGAGGTCGGGCTGGGTCAGCAGGTGAACGGCCCTGACTGTGACGCTCACCTGGTGTACGACCAGGGTCACATAAAGGGGACTCGCTCTTCCCGCTCTAAACGCTGGTGGGCCCCATGTTTCTTCCTGGACCAGCATCTCCCTTCTCTCTACAGCCCACCCCTCAGGGCCCCCATCAGCCTCATTTACAATGCCCCCCCCCCGTCTGCTCTCACCTCTTACCTTCGCGTCCTGTGCAGTCTGAGCCCTGTCACACGCGTCTCCCCGCGGCTCCTCCAGTCGGCTCGGCTCCGCTGCCCAGTGAAGATCCCACCACACACCATTTGCTCCTGCAGACACACAGGTTTGGGTCTCTTGAGTTCTCCTTTTCTCTCCCTCCCTCACCCCCAACCTTTCCGGTTAATCATCAGGTCTTGTACTTTCTTCCTCTAAAGCATAAGTCCATGGGGTGATTAATTCCACGTGCCAATTTGACTGGGTCACAAAAGACCGACCTTTAGCTAAGCTTTATTTCCAAGTGTGTCTGCAGGGGGTATGTCCTGTCCTCCTGGTGCAGCTGAGACCCACCCAGTCCCCTGGAGACCAGAACAGAGGGAACAGCAGGGGGAGGCGGAGTCACTCTCTGCCGGCTTGCTGGGCTGCTTGAGCTGTGAGTTCTGTCTCCTTGGACTCCTCCGACAGGAGCTTCCGCTGCTCGTTCTCTTTGTTCTTGGGCCTTTGACTTCGAGTAGAACTTACACCATCAGCTCTCACACTTGTACGAGCCAATTCCTTACATAGCACACACGCGCACGCACTCACACACACACGCACGCGCACACAGTTTGTTCTCTTTCTCTGCAGAACCCTGGCCACCCCACTGAGCATGTGCTGCTTTTCCTAGAACCACTGCTAATACAGGAATCCAGGTCACCCTAAGCTCCTCCCTGGACCCCTGTAGTAGCCTCCTTACAGGCTCTCAGATTTCTTCTGCACCCCTCCCGTCCAATTCCACAGGGCAGCCAGGACAATCTGCTTTAAAACATGGATTAAATCAGTCCCTCCCCCTTTTTCTGGCTCCCACTTTGAATGAAATCGGAACTTCCACCTCAGCCTACAGAACGCTTATCCCTCTCCTGATTCTGTAGAAAGCATCCTCTAACTCTATAGCCCCGGTTATATATTTGTTTACACAAGTACTTGTCTCTCCCCCTGCACTGCCCCTCCCAGGCAGCCGGGATCCTGTCTTCCATCTTCAGGATCTTATCTCTGGCCCCAGCTCCATGCCTGACACGCACCAATGCTCACCGAACAGAGTTAGGACGTTTGTGACTATTGCACACCTACTGGGAGGACCAAGAAGAGTCACCGGTCAAAATCTCACAAGTTCCATGAAATACGTGCTGTTTGCAATGGGAAGGTCACGGGTCCTCAAGGCGGGGTTCACGAGCTCTGCAGGAGTGGCTGATTCTTGCTGGTTTAGTCAAGTTCCGTTTGTGCATGTGCACACACACACACACACACACACACACACTGTCGATACAGATACCTCGTGGACATTCATTCTCACGGTGCTCTGAACTCTTCCATGAAACACAGCCGTCTGGAGCCCCACCAGCCCCAGAGGCCTGAACAAAGCCCGCACCTTCCCCAGGGCGCGGCTGACTCCTCAGTTCTGACCGGCTCCAGATCTCTGCTGAGGTCAGCCCTGCACCTTCACACCCAGGGCCGATCTGAGCCATCTGAGAATTATTAGGCAAAATCCCCTTAGTTTAAGCCTCACCTGGAGACCTTCAGGAATGCTCAGCATGAGAAATTGCCTTCTGCGTTTGCAGAATGTTGAGTCTACAGATCGCCGCTCGGAAACTCAAGGGACAGAGAAAGCGCCCTGACATCAATCAAGTGTTAGAGGAGAAAGAAAAAGACAAAAAAGAAGCAGAAAAATCAAGTGCAGTTATTAAGCTGGCTGAGCCAGCGGTAATAACTTAGATTTATGCTCCTTTATGGTAAGGCATTCCAGCAATTATTCGGGGCACCAGAATCACATTTCTAACATGTTTGCAGCTGAGTTCCTGAAATGTAGCTCTGCTTATTTTTCAGGAATTTTCTGGCTGCCAGACAAAAACAAACTTGCTCCGAATCTTCAATTCACTTGATCCTGATCCCAGCTGAGGATGGTCCCCAGTGGGACGGGGAGGGGGCAGTGTGATGTGGTGACAAATATCAGTGTCCTCCGGCCTGGTAGCTGGGGTCGCAGCCCGCAAGTGGTCCGCCTGGGGAGTGCAGGGGCCCACGGCTGCTCTACACCGCCCTCTGTGGGTGCTGCAGGTTCTCTCTTCTCCTTGGGGGTGGTCACCTCTTAGCGCGTTCTTTCTATTTCACAGAATCCTCTCACAATTTCTCCTTTTGTTAGCTTCAGCTTCCACCGACATTGGAGGATGGGTGGATTAGGAAAGCTCATCTCAATTCTAGATTGAAAAGCGAGTCTTCAATTAAGTATTATTTTATACTTAAAATTTGTGAGGACCCCAGGTAAGGAGGCTGCTTGGAAAATGATTTCATGTTTGCCTAGGCAATTTGAAGACAGGTGCATCTTATGACACCGGATATTTTGACCCCAAAATAGACTTTTTTGGGGGGGGTACCAGGGATCGAACTCAGGTCCACGCGCTTGCAAGTAGGCAGCAGCACTATTGAGTCACATCTCCGCCCCCAGAGAAGTTCTTTTCCATAAGCACCGGCAAATACGGCTGAGATTCTCAAGGCAGGGTGTTTACAGTGACAGATAGTTGGAACCAACCCATCAGTGACGGAACAGATCAATAAACTGGCGTCACAGGAGTGTAGTGGGAATTGCTGCTCTGCAGCGGCATGTGACAGCCTGGCTGAGCTGCGGGTGTGAAATACTGAAGGAGGAAACAGGCTGAGCGCGGAGAGAAGACGCCCAGCGACGCATGCGCACCGACAGCGAAAACCGGAAGAACGAAAATATTCTTTGAGGGGGGACAGAAACGCATGAGATCAGACTTT